CGCCCTACAACATACCCTGCTTTAACATATATTTGACTCTGAATGTGATCATAATATACTAAATGAACATTATGTTGTATAGAATAAGACTTGAAACTGAAGGTTGACACCATACACTCATGAAGAAAAATATTCACTGAGGTAATAAATCAAACTCAGTCTTCTTTATAATCCGACTTCTTGATGCAGACAGTCTCCTCCTATTGGATATTTAAGAGCATTAAACTGATTGGCTCCACTCTGCTGGCCTGGAGGCTGCCCCCCGGCTAACAACAAGACACAGTCTCAGAGCAAACAACGAGGAGACGCAAACAGCAGCGAACATGTAGATGTCTCATTAGAGCGGTGTGCACACACTTCATCTGCAGCCCTCCGCTGCAGGCAGACCCTCCCTGTCTTAGACTAGTCTTGCTCACCCGCACCAATAAAAATACCCCCGCGAGGAGGACAGAAAAATATCACACTGAGACTCTGAGCCGCAGGTGCTCCTCTGACGGAAACACGGGAGAGTGCATGGAGTTCACTGAGCCGGTGTCTTTAGAAAACATGCTGTGGGATCCTTAGAGAGGAATATACATGCATAGACATAAGAGAAAGATGCATACTTTTGTACAGAGATATTAATGGAGGCAGGTAAAGAGAACAGAAGCAGGTGAAGGGTTATAGAAACTGTGCAGTACAAAAAAAATGCAATTCCTGATTTCTAACAGAGATGGGAAACAAGTATGTCTTTTTGAAGTATGAAGTAAGTCTCACGTCTTTGCATTCAAGTCCCAAGTCCTACAATTAGAGCCTAAACAAGTGATAAATGTGCTCTTTTGGGTTTTCTGTTCAGGCTTTCCAGAACACCTGATGGTAAACCTCCTCTTCATGTCTCCTTATACATGAAACCAAACGGCTAGTATGGTCAGTCTCTGAGAAAGTGACAGGAGCTGCTATTGTAACATGACTCGATGTGACATGCCAGTGATATCTGTCGGTGTGTGTGTGTGTGTGTGTGTGTGTGTGTGTGTGTGTGTGTGTGTGTGTGTGTGTGTGTGTGTGGTTGCATGTTGAAGGAACAGCAGTAACCTTCTCCGTCGTTTGTTAGCTCGTGTCCTGAGGCCTCTGAGCCAATCAGATCCTGCTTGGCCTTTAAAAGGATGCAGCCCCATCGCAAGGAATCAACCAAATAATCACATGTGGACTCTGGGTGTGTGTGTGTGTGTGTGTGTGTGTGTGTGTGTGTGTGTGTGTGTGTGTGTGTGTGTGTGTGTGTGTGTGTGTGTGTTGTCTGTGTCTGTGTCTGTGTCTGTGTGCCTGTCAGCTATACATGGCTACACCATAAAAACAGCACCACATTTAAAATACGACATGTGGATAGTGTTGCACTTTACCGTCAGCTGTGTGTGTCTGTGCTTATTCTCCTGTATCTGTTGCTCTGTATTCTTTGCATTTGTCTAATGCACACAGTATGATGATGTGATTCCATGCATGCAAACGTAAGTCCCCCTGAATACAATTTATTAAAAGGAATGAAATGCAAAATGCATTTCAATTGAATTAAAATGCCCAGGGAGAGTGTGTGCATTACGTCTACAGCATGCATGTGCTTGTGTGTAAGCCTCTCCTGTTTATGTGTGTGTGTGTGTGTGTGTGTGTGTGTGTGTGTGTGTGCGTACGGTATAGGTCTGCAGCAGATGCCATAATCTCCTCACAGTCATGCGTTAGGATGAGATTACGAGAGCCATAATGTGGTAAGAACAGTTTGTCACTTTAGTGTATTGCTAGACACACACACACACACACACACACACACACACACACACACACACACACACACACACACACACACACACACACACACACACACACACACACACACACACACACACACACACACACACACACACACACACACACACACACACACACACACACACACACACACACACACACACACACACACACACACACACACACTAGAGTATATCGTGTATCATTCCATGCCCTGAGGACTGACTGTCCATTTCTGCAGATTAAGCACAGAGAAGCAGCTCAAATGTAAATGTGGAAAATGGAGAGTTCATAAGGCAGAGCGTGAGGGGAGGTGACAGAGAGGAGGGGGTGGGGGGAGGTGACAGAGAGGAGGGGGTCGGGGGAAGAAAGACATATAAAAGAGACTACAAAATAAAAAGGCAGCGCTACGACTCAAAGCGAGACTCAAAACAAAAGGAGAATTTAATGACATTTCTCTCGGATAATTGGGACGTTCCTCCTCTGTCGCTCCCCCTCTCCTCTTCCTCCTGCCCCCCCCCCACCCTCATCCTCTTGACCTTCATCTCCTGCACTAAAAGATGCCCCCCCTCTGCTTCGGCTGTGGAGCCAAAACAAGACTCTTCAGATTCCAGTAGAAATGTTTTGATGTGTGTGTCTGTGTGTCTGTGTGTCTGTGTGTGTCTGTGTGTGTGTCTGTGTCTGTGTGTGTGTGTCTGTGTGTTTACTGTTAATTCTCCCAGACTGCAAATGGTCATGCTTGTCCCACTCACTTACGAGGGGAATCTATGTGTGTGTGTGTGTGTGTGTGTGTGTGTGTGTGTGTGTGTGTGTGTGTGTGTGTGTGTGTGTGTGTGTGTGTGTGTGAGCAATTTACAAGAGTCTGAAGGTGTTATGGCGAAGCTGCTGATGCACCGAGTCTTTTCTCTTTACACGCCATCTGTCATCATCTCACATCGACTGACAACCAATCAATGAGAGTGTCCACCTCAACTACATCGGCTCAAAACTAAGCACCGTTTAATCGATGCATGCTGCGCTCACATGTCTGTTCGCTCGCAGCCATGTGTCCGCCCGGATGTGCACGACATTCACGACATTCCTACGTGCATCCATGTGTGTGTGTGTGTGGGTGACTTTAGGCCGTGAGTGTGTGTCCATGTGTGCCGGGATTACAAATCTGCTTCTCCCCAGACGGGTGGCGTCTGTGCACAGCGTGGTTGTGACGCTGTGAATGTTGATGGACAGCCGGTGCATGTGAGTGAGACCAGTTGGCACTTTGTTGCCTTTCGTGACTGATTTTTTGCATTTTGATTCATCAGAATTCCCTCAGAAATGGTAAAAAAGCCAAAAACAACACTGACATCCAGGAGGACTGACTGATTACCCTGCTGTTCATATATCTTATTTATTTGTTATCAAGCAGCACATCTTGCACTTTTATGCTGGGACAGGATTTTTTAAATGTATGTCCGCTCATATTTTCTAAGCTATGCTAATGTGTGCTCATATGCTATAGTTTCTTAATATCCAGGAGTGGAGAGCGTAAGACTGCTACCCATTTATGATGAATGGATATAGCATTTTTTCCAAATGTGTTCATTTGGGCTCATACTGTCTCATTCTCTCTTTAAAATACTGTAAATGACATGCAAACGACACAAAATGACTTCATTAGCGTTCTTTTCACTGCCTAAGGACGGCCCTTTCGTTATTTCCCAGTCTGTTCAGCGTCAAATCAAAGCATTTTCTTTGCAATCATCCACACTAATAGCTATTTCCAAAATACTGCCGAGTGCTGCTGGAGCCTGGAGCTGAACTGAGCTGTAAATCACTGCTCCAACTGATACCCGCAGAGACAGAGAGGAATTCATGTTAAAACCAGATTTAAGCCCTTTAATGCGCTAATGAAAAGTGCTGTATTTATGTGTTGCTGGTAAACGGCAGTGTTGTGACACGAGGTCCATCCGTGACTCAGTCCAGAGCCCTAATGAGAGCAGCGCTGAGCCCGAGGCAGACAGAGGGAGGAAGAGGAGGGGATCGATGCAAACCTCGCCACCTCTCCGGACTGCCATCATCCTCTTTCCCCTCCTTCTCCTCTCTGCCCACACTCCTCCCTTCGTCTTCCTCCCTTCTTACAGCAGGGCAGCGAGTCTAACTCAATACCCAGCGCTGCAAAGATCAATAAAAGACACAAAGAGACGAAGCTCTGAGATTGAGAAGGGAAGAAATCAGGCCAAGTGGAGTCCTGTCCACCTCAGCTTCAACACACACAAAAAAAAGGGCGGAAAATCCAAAGTGAACAACACCTTCATGTCTGCTTTTCTGGATCTAAATCACACCCAATGACCTGGGGAGTTTATACTCTATATATCTGAAGGAGGACATTAGCACCAACAGCAGCCCAGGGAACAGTACCGCCACATATAGACCCTTAAGAAGACACAACATATATGTTACGATCATATTATATCCCCAGATCACTCGCTATCATTTCCCCGTAGAGACCGACTGGCGTTATAGTATTTCCAACACCCCGCCCTCGCCGCTCAGACTCAGAGAAAGCTTAATATTCGTCGGGGCACTAGAACATCTCCCAAGGCTTCGGACACACATGCATGCATAATAAGCCTTGACTGACACCGACACACACTTCTGCATATTCATACACAAGCAGCTGCCTCTTCTAGTCCCTCAGATTGTTTTCCTCTTGTTCAATAAATCATAAATGCGCGCCCCCTTGATATCCAGTTTGTAAAGCAGGGGACCAAAGCAGAATGGAAAACAAACAGATCAAGAAAACAACAATTGTGGGAGTTGCGCGGCACATCAGTCAGCTGGTCCCTCTTCTGTGTGTGTCTTTCAGCAGTGTACATATTATCTTTCCCCCCCGACACACACATTACTTACACGCACGTTCCCCTCAATTTCTCCCCCTCTTCCACCACCCTTTTTATTATCGAATCCCTTGATGTGCCCGTCTCCTCCCTCCTCTGCTGTACAACTACGAGGAATGTTCAAAAAAGGGAGGAAACATGTTGACTTTGCATAAGAAATGAATAAGAGTTGGACGTCCAAAACATCCCCCCTGCAGCGCTGACACCATCTAAGTCCTCACATCTGTCTCCATATTAACACTTCCTCCCTAAATCCCTAATTTCCTCTCCTTACTCCGGCATCACAGCTCCTCTCGCCGCCGGCATGTGTGTGTGAATGTGTGAGTGTATGTGTGTGAAGGCACTAACCTGCCCTTCTGGCACGCGGCACACAGCCAGGCTTGCTCCCTCTTGTTGTAGGTGCAGCAGGTCTTGCAGACGTTGTACTGGCAGTCCAGGCACAGGCGCTTGGGGTTGATGAGGAAGGTGAAGGGCGCGCAGCAGCGGATGCAGCAGTGCTCGTTGAAGCGGTGCTGCTTGGTGAGGATGGAGCATCTGCTGCCTTCCTCCGCCAGCTCCTGCTTCATCTCACTGAAAACCGGGAGAGGGAGAGGAGGAGAGAGAGAGAGGGAAAGGGAAAGGGAGGGGGAGAGAGAGAGAGAGAGAGAGAGAGAAAGTGAGCGTCTGGTGGAGGACGGCGATGCGGAATGATTGGAGATGCCGTTGTAAATTAACAATGAAAAAACGTGTGTATTTAAACAAGAAGAGGGAAGGGCAGAAGGGGTCATGGCTTTGGTGAAACACTCCCTCTCTTACTCTGATTCTGAGGAATTAACGTGATGCCTGACATTTCAATTTGGCACGATGTGGCGTGCGTTGTTCGCCCGCATCAGTCACAAGACAGCTGAGGAGACACGGCATGTTGTCTTACACGTGGAAAACATTGCATTTTTTGTCAGGGCATGTGAGGATGAGGAGGATGATGGTACATTGGAAGAAATAGTTGTAAAATGGAAGGTCCCCTGCTGCTGTTCAACACACAGAAGTCCTCTGAGAAAGACAAAGCGTCCACAGTTATACGGAGATGTTTTTAAATCCAATAATTACAGCAGTGATGAGCAGCACAGTCTCACTCATCTGAACGCCTCAGACTATTGTTCACACTAATGAACTATTAGGATTATAGACTGAATTGAATAGCTTGTTTAAAAATCAAATAACATCCGCCACCAACAGCTGCACACAAGTATATTAAATCCCCCTATATTCAGATGAGTTATTTCAGAGCATTTGAGTTCAGAAAGTCAGGTTTTTCTATTAAATCGCTTAAAAATATATATTTATCGGAATTCATTCTGGGATCTGGTGGAATTAAAAACTCCACAAACAATTTACAAAGCAATAAATAATGTACAGATGAGGCTTATAATTTCCAAAGTATGTAATATCAATTTGTGGGGAGTTTTTGTCGATTGAACTGAATAAAAAAATAGAATTCAATCAAAGTAAAAATGTCACAGGTTGGTTTGAATGTCGTCTTTTTATCCCTTTCACACTCTTGATTGGTTCGCGCTGATCAGTAGGTATTACAAGGCAAACACAGTGGTTTGTTTGAGCTGTGGTTTTGTAATTGATTGAGTGATTAAATGATAATACATGTTGCTTATTGGAAGTAAGTTGATCCTAACCATGGTTCTTTTTATTCGTTTTTTCATGTGCATTTCATTTTTAAATGCTAAAAATAGCCTAAATCCAATCCGTCAAAGAGATGCTGGGTTATCCCGACTGTTAATCAGTTTGTTAACCAGCATTGCCATCCGTGGCTGAACTCCACATCAATTATGAACGTAGGTTTTTCCTCTGTAGGATTCGCGCTGACTGAGCACCATGAGCAGAGGCTGCAATAAATTATATAATGTTTTGCATTTAGATCATAAACCTTTCATCATGAGTGCATATTGCACCCGTGCCAATTGTGTTTAAAATAATACCCAACGAGGAGGAGGGACTGAGCAAAACACTAACTGGTGTTTACACCGTCACCCATCAGCTGTCATTAGGAGTGAGCGGAGAAAAGATGGAGGTGTGAAGGTGCGTTCAGCTCCGATGGGCGGGGAGTAAATTATTCAAGCTGCTGTTCTGTACACAGCCAGAATGCAGCATGCACTGATCCTAGACCTGCACACAGAGGCCATTTACAGTACTGTATATGTGCATGAAATACCCTTTATAGCAAGATAGGAACGATATGTACTGAATGCATGCAAGACACGTTCCTGAAAAAGTTGTGTGTCCACAGATGAAACAAAAAGTAAAATATATCCTGTGAGTAAGTAGGCTGCAATATGTATGTATGCATCCAAACCTCGACCATGGAGTGTACAGCAAACGTAGTGCTGAATGCAGCATATTGAGAGTTTCCTGTGTGTACTGTACTATCTGCAGAGCCAGCGGGGGCATTGCAATCTCCTGCTTCCCTAAGTTATTAACGCTGCTCCTCAAGCAGATCCTCGGCTGCCTCACTGATTGCTTTTCATGCGCACCATTAGACGCAGCATATTAACAAGACGAACAAACCATTTCATATACAGTGTCATGTGAGGAAGGACAGTGGTTGGCATATGCACGGTGTAGATACAGATACACACAATTATCTACCGAGATGATCAGACGGAGGATTCTGCACGTGCAAGGTCACTGCTTCTGGGAAATTGTCGGCCCCCAATCAAATTAAAAGTCTCTGAACAAACCTCCAGGCTACAGATTCTTATTGTCTGAGTAACACAAACACACATATCCAAAACAGAGCCATTCATATCTCAAAAATGCAAAAAAGTCATTGCCAGGAAATCATTCCCTTCAGGTCTGATTAGGATCCATTCTGCCTCTGTCTGGTTTAATGAACAGCCCAGTTATGGCGGCTAGCTCCGGCCATTTAATTAAATGAGTGGGCGAAGACACACATATATATATATATATACCCAAGGACAAGGAGGGTTTGTCATGCCTGGACTCCCTCACATTAACTCTCATCTCTGGTAATGAGACATCAAACGCTGGTGTGACGGAGACACACGTCCAGGTGCCAGCGATCAGCTCGTAAAAACCAACATGGTCACTCTTTATAAGCAAGAGACCTTTAAATTACACGTATGTTAATTGTTCACAAGCAGTTACACTTTATCTCCTTGTTCTAAAACATTTAATGGGACATGTTATGATCATGTCAGGTTCACAGGCTTGTGTTTTGAGTTTGATTCTCAATCCATTATTTGTGTTTATTATAAAAGAAGCAGGGGATAGGAGGAAGTCATTTGATTTTAAAAATTAAACAAGGAGGCGACTCCTTTACGTTTCCTATTAACAGACTCATATTTCATGGAGTAAAACTCATTAAAACTCAGACGGAGGAAAACACACATTTGTATTAATTCAACAAGGTCGGTCATTCAATTAAATCCAACTTGCACACGTTGTGATTCTATGATATTAAAAGTTTGGTCAGGTCAACTTTAAGGTGTATATCATCATTTAATCTGCCGATTGCTCAATTTAAATAAATGCCATAAAATAGTTGGAAAGGTCCAGCAGTAATACATTAAACACATGAAGCCTCAAATGGTTTCTCTATCCTCTGACAGGCTGTGTCACTGTGCAGCATGGGTGTAATGTCATTGTAATATGGATGTTAAATCGGTGTAATAATTATGTAATATGGGTGTAATGAAAGTAAAATAAAATGGGTGAAATATTGGTTTTAAATGTGTGTAATCTGGGTGTACTAATAGTGTAAAAATGTGACTAATATGGGTGTACTAATAGTGTAATAATGGAGTAATATGGGTGTTATTTGGGTGTAATAAAGGCGTAATAACAGTGTAATATGGATGTTAAATTGGTGTAATAATGATGTAATATGGGTGTAATGAAAGTATAAAATGGGTGAAATATTGGTTTTAAATGTGAGTAATATGGGTGTACTAATAGTGTAATAACAGTGTAATATGGGTGTTATTTGGGTGTAATAAAGGCGTAATAACAGTGTAATATGGGTGTTATTTGGGTGTAATAAGGCGTAATAACAGTGTAATATGGGTGTTATTTAGGTGTAATAAAGGCGTAATAACAGTGTAATATGGGTGTTATTTGGGTGTAATAAAGGTGTAATAACAGTGTAATATGGGTGTTATTTGGGTGAAATAAAGGCGTAATAACAGTGTAATATGGTTGTTATTTGGGTGTAATAAAGGCGTAATAACAGTGTAATATGGGTGTAAAACATAGGTGTAAAATAGAAAACAAAGGGTTCAATAATATATAAATCTATACCCTTAATGGGAAATGTATGACAGCAGAAACAGAGTGCAAGCTGGGAAATAAAAGTCATGTTTTCAAGAAATGTTTTGCAATGTGCCATTTTAGACTAGAAATATTAATCAATTTCACCAAATTATTGATATGTGATTGCCCATTTGAGGGTTGGAGCGTGTTTCAATGAAGAGCCCAGAATCAAAGTGTTGAGACTCCATTAGTGATGAAAGTATTAAAGGATAATGAACATTTCTGACTGCAGATGAAGATTTGCTCACCTTAAACACTTTACAAAGAACATTTGATTTGCATGTGTCGATTATAATGTTACAAGTGGTTTGCATGAATGTCAGGAGGTAGCTCAGGAGAGGACAACAAAGTTCTTTACACGCTGGAAGTTTACACCAAACTCCAGAATTAAAAACGATTGATTATGTAAATGTGCAGAGGGTAGGGTGAACACGAAATCATTTCTAATTTAAACTCTGGGCATGGTATGTGGATTTAATAATATGTAATGTATTTCTGACTGCCTGTCACTCCTGGAGAATAATTGTGCTGAATGTTCACTTTCTCTTTCTGCTAGAAATCCATTCCTGTGTCCTGCAGCTGACAAACAGACAGCCTTAAGTTCTCCAGGTGAAGTTGAATTATATCACAGTCAGATTTGTAATCAAGATAATGTCATCCTGAGGTCCAGCTGCAGCCGGGCCAGTAAAACAAAAACAATCGCAGTTTGATTTTTCAGAGTGATGTATCGCCCGCTCAGCAGCTGTTCTCCTATCAGTGAGTTACCGCTCTCAACGCACTGCTGACCGCCTGAGCAACGTGGTGACTCAGAGGAGCTGCAAATTAATCACTGTTGGGTTTAGAATATGCAATTTAATGCTAATTTGGAAATCTACAATCTACATTTTCAATATTCTGACTGCTTATACAGTACTAACACAGGATGTATGAGTGTGGATCTTTATGTCCCTGTTTTCACACACACATGTAAATAATATGTACACATGGCCAAATATGGGGCGAGCTAGTTCAGGCAGTCAACTCAAGCACTTATGCTGCATTCATACATAACGCCCCTTGCCACTCTACAACCAACCAAACAGAGTGTCCTTAACATGCCGCTCTATTTAACCTGCCAGATCTCTCTCCATGCATTGCTTGCTGCTGCTATTGCTGCAGCTACTTCCACGTCGCTGCTGCTTGCTTCTAATAAACATGTTAAATAAACACGTGAGTTGTCTGACTGAAATGTATATATGTTCATTTTAATT